TTGTGCGTACACCACCAAATATTTGGAACATTTCGTTATTTTTCTTCACTTGGAATGGATTGAAAACACTACAGAGACTTTTTTCTGCTATTGTTCTATTAACACTTTTTTATTTCCAAAAAAAACGTTATCTTTTGAAAGTTTTGCACAAGAGATTACTTATTTTTATTATAAAAATACATCACAGTTTGCAAACGAGATATTTAATTCCATTCACTTTGATCACAGAGGAAAATATCTTTATATTAACACTTTGTTCACGGAAACAACTTTCGTCACCCACGATTGACGTATTTGAGCACGTTGGTTGCATGTTAAATTTGGTTTACATTGTCTAAATTATATGATACATTAAATTAATATTCATTAACTTTGACCACTTATGGTAGTCACGTATGATATGTTGACTTGACACTATTTACGGAAAAGTATTTCAACTTATGGTTTGATTAATCCAGCACTTTTTTGTTTTATATCATATAATTGGTGTATATGTATATACACATGTATTCACATTAGAGTAATTAGCGCTGTTTATTTATTTTATATTCATCTATTAGACCCTATGGGTCTATATCACAGCAGCTTTTGTTTAACACTTCACTTGTGGATCGGTATTGTTGTAGATTTGTTTAGATTGTTAGCGTTGCCCATTCAGATAAAACTACTCTCTGTATTATGTCTGCAAGGAGAGACTGAATAAGAGGTTAATAAAGTGCAAATTTCGGGACCTTGGAGTTACCTTGCACTACCTACAGTCCTTTCTCACTGGGGGTCCACCTGTGGTGTAACTGCCATGACATGCTGTCATTTTGACTGCCAAGGTCCTGATCTGTGTAGGACAGTAGCATGACAGCAGCTATCTCTGCACTGATCAGTGTAACAAGTGTTTGTCCTATGTCACACTGCAATCCTATGGCTGGTGACCCATCCAGCGAAAGAATTGATAGCGAGGGCAGGGGAACTATTATCCTTTTTCCAGGGCATCAATCCCTGGAGTAAGTCAATGGTGAGTTGGCCCCAGCAACAGGATCACGAATGTGACATAGGCCTTACAGTGTCAGAGCTCATAAAAAAGTTGACAAAAAATTGATACATTGTACCTGTCAGAAGGAACCAATTATAACCTATTGTGTCTATGTATTGTTTGCTGAAGGCTGAAATAAAAAAAATACTTTGAATAAATCTCTTTCCTATTAAACCCCATTAGTTCCATGTTATCCCTACTAACCCAATAAAAAAAACTCTCTCTCCCTGCTCCCCTAGTTGGTCTTTTTGCCATTTTTATTTATTCTTTACTGTTTGTATGAATAAAACCACGTACCCTAACATTTTTCCTATAAGCTTTATTTAATTTGAAAATAACTTTGCCACACTTTGTCGTGGAAGGCAATTTTACCAAAAGAAAAGCCTTGTTTGTCTAAAAAAAAAAAACCTTATATGCCTTACTTCTGTATCCTATCCTATAAAAGATATTAATAGCCCAAATATCTGAAAACAGAAATGGCTATATTTTACCTAATTTGTTTTAGTTTACTTTGTATTTGCCCTTTTATAATTTCTTGTATCCAATGACACCTTGGAGTTGACAGGACACAAGCTTGATCCAATCTCTCAGTGCTTAATCCTTGAAAAAGTATGTTGTTTAAACTGCAATTTATACAGAAAATGAACAGGTCATCGCAGTGATTCATCGTTCACTGGAATGCTCAGTCCAGATTTTCCAGATCAGACAGAGACAGCCTCGAAGCAGGCAGCTACTGCTGTGCTGCCTCTTTAGCTAACCGGTGCTTTTGAGAATACTTTGTTGTGTATTAAACATTTATTTGTAAAACAAAGATTGCGTGTATACAATGAAAAAGAAAACAGATGCTAAACTGCAATTTTTTTAATATACATTTGTAAGAAAAAAAAGGCAGCTAAGAAAAATGTTGCCAAATCATGATAGTTTCCATTTAAAGCTGAACTCCAGGCAAAAAACCTAATACACAGTTGACATATATATAATGTATATAGGGGCAGTTTCAGTTAGCCAGGGATAGTCACAAACAGAGCAGCTGCTGCTGGACTCTCTATTTAGAATATACACAATGTTCTTCAAAACCAATGTAATACGTGCACCCCGTATTCATTATTTACTTGTAAAAAAGGCTGTGTTAAGTTTACTCATCTATCAAACTCCACCAAACCACGGGGTTATTCACAAAGCTGCTGAAGCAGCCGAATGAATATACCAGCTGAAGTGGAGTAAGCTGAACGCTGTTCGGCTATTCACATCTGGCTTGTACGGCTGATTTAAGTCGTACATCGCCTGCCTTTGGCTGAGCTGAAGTGCAGAAGGAGTTCAATGCAGCTGATCCAACATCTGGATCGGCTGAGCCGAAGCTCTGACAGCTCACTTGCTCGGCAGCTTTCGGCTCGGCTATTCTGCTCGGTACCTGCGAGGTACCGGGCAGAATAGATAATAAGTGAAATAAATGTAAAAAAAGAAAAACAAAGTTGAAAAATTGATGTCACGGCCGGCTCCGCCCAGTTGTTATTGTTTAATGACAGATCAGCGTCCCCAAGTCATTTGTGGACGCTCATCTGTCATTACAACTGGGCAGAGCAAGCCATGAGATCACAGCTGTCTCTGCCCAGCTGTCATTTGCGGGGAGAACGACCGGCCTTAGGCAGGCCATTCTCCCCGCTTCGGGTGTCACTTCGGCTCAGTCGAGCCTTAGCATATGCCTTCGGCTTTGCTGAGCCGCTCGGCCGCTGTACCGACTACCGAAGAGAGCCAAAGGATCAGCCGAAGCTACTGCTGGATCCTTCGGCTCTTTAGTTAATAATTCCCTAAAGGAATTAGTATCATACATCATTAGGAACCAAGTTTGGAGGAATTGGTTCTGTTATGAAATGATTAAAACAGCAGGATTATTAACACAGAATAGCAATAACATGGTAGCCATCATCAACAGTGTGTAACACACTCACCTGTCCGCAGCTCCCGGCCGTCCGGAGGTTCCATCGGTGATCCGTTGACGTCATCGGACTCCGCCCCTTCCTCTACTTAAGCCGACAAAGCCACTTGCCTGGTGTTCGTGTAAGGTGTGTGACGCCAGGCAAGTACCTCCGCCACCGCCGCCAAACAGGAACTAGAGATTGGGCCGGTCAGTGCCCCTGCTACGCAGCTCCTCTCCACGCCGTCACTGGCTTCCTCCTCGCTCGAGCCACCATGGACCCAGCAGTTTCCAGTTTGCTAAAGCATTCCTGACTGCTCTACTGATTCTGGCCACAGGGGGGTAGCAGAGAACTACTCAACTCAAAACAGCAAGTATTTTCAATTGAATCAGTTTGATACCAGTAAACTGTGTTTCCAGGTTGCAACTCATTGGATGCTATTGAACAGTGTATCTTACCTACAAACCAATCATTGCCATTGAACTGAGTATCTAGCCTACAACCAATTGCTGCCATTGAACTGTATACCTAACTTACAATCCGTTTAAAGTAATTGAAGTGTGAAACTGACTTATTGACCAGCTGTAGCCAGTGAACCGTGCACCCATTATCCATCCAGCGCAGTATCTGAAGCTGAGATCTCACCCAGTCCTGACTAGACCGGCCAAGGCATTACACAGTGTACATCAACACAGAGGTGTGATTTATGCCAACCAGATGATAGGTGCCAAGCACAACAATCTTTTTTTATTGACTAGAAAGAATACCTCTTTGTCTAAGGTTCCTGTTATTGATGAGCTCTTCTGAGAACTCATTTTTAACATCTACAATCTACAGCTTATACTGTAATTGCATAGTTGCCAATATTTTAAAAACATTTCCAAGGATACTTTTTTACCACTGTAGGTGACAATTGTACCAAATTGGTGTAGTACTACAAGAGATATATTTTTAGCTGACTGTACGGTTTAATTTTAAAATGCTGTATATACTTGAAAATTCCTAATAATAATGACAGAAATTCAGCCAAGAAGGGATCATTCATTAGTAAGCTTATTTATGTATATGACACCTATAACCTTTAAGAAGGCCATACACAGCTCACATTTTGGCCGATTCCTACTGAATCAGCCAATTCTGAGCTGTTGCTGGCCCTGTTGGCACCACCCTGTTCAACAAAAGTCAGATTTCAAAATCGAAGGAGTTGGGTGCAAAATTGTTGGCTGAACAGTGTCTGGATCCTTTTAAATGCAGTCATTGTTCAAGTATTCAGACAGCCGGGGGTGCTGCAACTGTCTTAATACAATAGCCATTAGAGGAGATTTCTTTATCCACGCTCTAGAAATGTATGGCCAGCCTTAGTCTGTACAGTCTATTTAAAGTGCGCTACCCAACATCTCTGGCAGAGAATACAAAGATAAACCCCATTTACACTGCAAACACATTTGGCATATAATACTTAGAAAACATCATGTGACACTGACCGTTCTACTGTGTCCTGCGACTTCTGTTGTGGCTGCTGACGGGTTGAAAGTTTTTTAGGTGCAAAAATCCCGTGTAATAAAACAAGTTGGGGCTGTGGCCTGGACATGGCACCGAGCAGCAGCCAAATCCCAGAGCTCTGCAGACCCAGGGTATATATTTCAGTGTATCTTCCTCCCTTTCGCCCCAATGCCCCATGAAGTCACAGAAGACTCCCCGTGCCCCTGTGCGACAGCAGAAACAATCCCGGATGGAGGTATATGTGTCTCCCCAGGACTCGAGGCCTAAGCCGCGGGAGCGGCCCGGGACACCCGCATACTCCACCCCGACGAGACGTACCCAACCTTCTGCACACCATGATGCCTCCGGTTTCTCGGACGAGGCGACGTTCCCATTTGTGAGTGGGCTCGTGGACCGCAGCCAGGTTGGCTTTGTCCCGGGCCGAGAGGCCCGAGACAACACCATCAGGTGTTGACTGTGGTCCACCTAGCACGTTCCATGTCTAGACCTCTTCTCCTGCTGTCGTTTCTGAGGGAGACGCTAATACATGTGGGCCTGGGAATCAACATGAGGCAATGGATAGGCTCGCTGTACTCGAATCCTACGGCTGTGGTCAGAGTGAATGGGATCCTGTCGGAGCCGTTCGACATTTCGAATGGTACTCATCAGGGAGGTACTCAACAGGGTCCCCTCTTATATTCCTTCTCTCCTTGGATCCACTTCTTAGGACGATACAGACGTCCCCAGATATCAGTGGCCTTGAGTCCAAAGCGGGACACCAGAAAGTTGCTGCCTATGCAGATGATCTCCTACACTATGTATCAAACCCAGAAATATCGCTGCCCAATCTTTTACAAGCTCTGGAGACCTATGGACGCCTCTCAAATTTCAAACTGAACCTCAGTAAATCGAAGGCAGTTAATATCTCGATCCCTGCCAGCCGCCTACGTGGCCTCCAGAGGTCCTTTCAGTTTAAATGGGCGTCATCTCACATCACATATCTAGGGGTATCTATCCCGGCAGACATTAAGGACACCTTTGCTCTGAACTTCATCCCCATTCAGAAACGTATCTTCTCAGATCTGAAGTCCTGGGACCGCTCCACGTTTACGTGGATGGGTCGCAATAGCATTTTAAAAATGACAATTCTGCCCAGACTACTCTATCTCTTCCAAACGTTACCAATTATTGTCCCTGATATGTATCTAAGACAGATGCGTTCTCTCTTCTTGGCCTTTCTGTGGGCTAACAAGAGGGCTCGATTGCGTCATCAGATCCTATCCAGACCTCGAGCGGCGGGTGGGTTGAGCTTTCCAGATCCCGCTCTTTACTACAGAGCGACCCACTTAGCAGTGATTGTGGACTGGTGCTGTACCGTGGTCAGAAACTGTGGGTGGCCTTGGAACAGGAGGATTGCCCGTGGCCGCTACATGGTACCCCATGGATCTCTCCGTAATTGCCACTCTCCTCTTGGAAGAACCCTTTGGTTCGCGCCACGATGCTGGTGGCAGGCAAGGTGCTCCCCTCCCCAGGTTGGGATCCCTGTCAATGTAATGGGGGGATTTACACAGACCGCCAGCGTAAGGGGGGATTTACTCTGATCACCACTTACTGCCCTATAGTGTACATCTATTCAGAAAGAAACAAGCAGTTGCTTGCCTAACTGCAGAACAGTGCAAAGTACAGTACACGTGTATATGTGCATGATGACACGTATCATCCTGTTAACTCTTCTGGATAAAGTTTCTTCTTTACACTAAGTGGTGTTGCACAGAGAGAGATTTTTTCAACTTGAGAATAGTGGCAGGAAGAAAGCCTCGTGATTTTTATGTAACTAGAGCAGGGTGGTTCCACAACTTTTACACCGCCATTCCTGTTCTTAGACAATCAACATCTCCCCTGACACATTATATGGTGTTTGGATTAAGGTGTCTTTGCTACTTATGTGGATATAAATACTTGGGTATATCCCTATTACTTATTAGAACTGAAGAAGTGGCTTGGGTAAGCTGCAAAATGACTTCAATATTACAGAACAAGTCCAGTTACACGTGACTAATTACTTTTAGCTACGACAAAGGGTTATGTGAATTATTCTATGAACACGGGGACAGCACACAAGACAGTGTTGCCCACCATTGCAATCCTCAGCACAGAATAGCACAGTTAAGCACATATCTCCCTAATCTCTCCATATACCGGATGATAAGCACATGGCTCACAAAAATCTTTGTTTATTGTCTAGAAATAATCACCCTTTGTTTCAGCTTCCTTGTAGTCATTTGGAAACTCTTCAAAATCGTCTTAGAACAAATGGACAAATATTGAATCCTTAGTTTATATAACCTTCTAGTTCTTTACAGTTCACGTGGTGTCTGTCAGCTGTACAACTATGACTTTTATTGTTGGAAAATAACTACACATGATGAAAATTTTATTTTGGAAGAAAACTATTATGATGAAAATGTTAGGGGTGTATTTATGTACAAATTCAGGAAGCCGGGTGGCCCGTTATTACCTGCCATCTGGCTTCTTGATTGCCGGGGAAGCCAGCCCCATGCTGATTCGCCGGCTTGATGCTGATTGGCCGGGATGCCTGCTTCCCAGCCAATTAGCATCAAGATGGCCAAACAGCATTGAGCCGCCTTCCTGGCCAATCAGGAAGCCGGAGGCGGGTCATTACCCGCGGCCCGGCTTCCTGATCAGCCAGGAAGCCAGCTCTATGCTGTTTGGCCGACTCGATGCTGATGGGTTGGGAAGCCGGCTTCCCAGTCCATCAGCATCGAAATGGCCAATTAGGAAACTAGAAGGCGGGTTATTACATGCGACCTGGAAAGAAAATATACTAATAACTAGCATGGAGCCGGCTTCCCAGCCAATCAGGAAGCTGGGCGGCAAGTCATTACCTACTGCCCGGCTTCCTGATTGGCCCGTGAAGGCTGAAGCAGATGAGAGAGGGTGCAAGCCGTGACAGAGGGAGCAGGAGCAGTGACTGAAGAAAAGGATCATGTGGACAAGACTGAGACGTGACTGGAATCAGGAACAGGTCGTATGAAAGAGATTGGGGAAAGGGGGTGTACGTTGTCTTTGAGATTGTCTTTGAGATTGTGTGGGGGGTGAGATTGTATGCATTTGCAAATACTAAACTGTTAGTATTTTTTTAAACGGTTAGTGCTTTATATTAAGACTGTTAGTGTTTAAAGTAAGAGAAGGGATTAAGTATACCTTAACTTAGGCCCAGGGCTTTAATATAAATTTAATTTTACCCCAGGACAGTAGCATAAGAAACCCGAGGGCCATAGCATAATAAAGCATAATTAAATCCCACAGCCAAAGTAAATATAAATCAAAATAAATTAAAATAACTACAGGTCTTTATTAAGATAACCCTAGGACTGCAGTCTAATTTAAACTAACTTATCCACAGCACAATGCAGTGTCCTAAAAAAGGAGTTCAAATACTTAGGTGCTAGGCTGAAGGAAAGGACCTCCACAGTGGTATTCTGTGAGATACTGCCAGTGCCACGAGCCACTCCGGACAGACAGCGCGAGTTGCGGGAACTTAACAAGTGGCTCCGAAACTGGTGTCAGAATGAGGGCTTTGGTTTCCTGGAGAACTGGGCTAACTTCTCAGTCGGTTACCGGCTCTTCAGCCGAGACGGGCTGCACCTTACTGGGGAAGGTGCAGCATTTCTGGGGGGGAAAATGGTTAAAAGACTGGATGAGCTATTAAACTAGATAATGGGGTGGAGGGTAAAATAAAAACCAAAAAATTAAATATTAAACAACCAATCGTGACAGATAACACAGAAGGAAAGAATACAGGATTAGATAGTGGGCTAACTCCAGTCAACAGAGTCAACATAGTCAAAGTAGTAAATCAAGCCAATATAGAGAACATACTAAATGTAGTCAATAAAGTAAATCTAATTGCCCAAGGTGATCCAAGGAGGAATGGACCAGCCATGACAGGTACAATTAAAATTAATAGTGGGGAGCAAGAGGGGAGCAAACGTTCAACCAGTAAATGTACAAAAATCAAATGTATGTTCACCAATGCTAGAAGTCTAGCAAATAAAATAGAAGACCTTGAAGTTATGTTACTGGAGGAGGACTATGATATAGTAGGAATAGCAGAAACGTGGTTAGACAGCACACATGATTGGGCTACTAACATAGAAGGCTACAACCTGTTCAGGAGGGACATGCTTGCAAGAAGGTGGGGGGGCATGTATATATGATAAAAACGACCTCATTATGCACATCTGTGACTATATCACGTCAGCTGGTGGAGATGATGTGGAATCTTTATTGTTAGAACTAGATAGAACGGACCTTAGCCATAAACTTATTGTGGGTGTCTGTTCTAAACCTCCAAATATAGGGGAAGAGGAGGAGGCCCACCTACAATCCCAAATAGAAATAGCGGGGAAACAGGGTAATGTTGTGATAATGGGAGACTTCAATTACCCAAGCATCAACTGGGCTAACGGAACTTCCAAAATCGGCAAAGGCTGCCAGTTTTTTTAATATGTTGCGAGACAATTTCAAGGATCAGATGGTTGAGGTCCATAATGCCATCCTAGATCTGATCATCAGCAATAATACGGAGTTGTAATCGGGGAGACACTGGGTAATAGTGATCACAAGGTGATTGATTTTAATATTGGGTGCAAGAAAGGGAAGGGGGATGGGTGGACGAGAAGCCTAAACTTCAGGAAGGCTAACTTTGATAAACTATGCAATATAGTGGGTGAAATCAAATGGGAAAACTTATTTCATAAACTAAACTTTGACCAAAAGTGGGACTGTTTCAAGAACAAATTAAAAAATGCTATTAGCAGGTGTATACCACTGGGTAACAAAAGTAAAAGATCAAAATCAAAGCCAATGTGGCTAAATAAAACAGTAAAACAACACATTAAGGAAAAGAAAGTGGCATTTACTAAGTATAAAACGGGGGGGGGGGGGGGGCCAGTATTGGCATTCGATAACTACAAAGAATATAATAAAAGATGTAAACTGGTAGTCCGGGCAGCTAAAATTGAATGTGAGAAATATATCGCCAAAGTTAGTAAAAGGAACCCAACAAAATGTATCAATACATAAACATTAAAAAGGGGAGGACATAAATGGGACGTTACTCACAAACGACAGGGAGAGGGCCGAGACGCTAAATACTTTTTTCTCGTCAGTATTCAACAAGGAAAAAGACGTGTTTAGTGTACACGATAAAACACAATTTTTACCAATAAATACACCTGAGTGGTTGACTGAAACTGGGATACAACATAGGCTTAAACTACTAAATGCAAATAAAGCATTAGGACCTGATAATCTACATCCCAAGGTACTCAAGGAACTGAACAAGAAGATAACGAGACCATTGTTCCTCATTTTTAAGGAATCCGTAATGGCTGGTAGAGTGCCAAGCGACTGGCGAAGGGCTAATGTGGTACCTATATTCAAAAAAGGGTCAAAATGCCAACCCGGGAACTATAGACCAGTTAGTCTGACATGCATAGTATGTAAACTGTTAGTGGAATTCGTCCGGGATCATGGCATAATAACTGATAACCAGCATGGATTTAGGAAGGATCGTTCTTGCCAGACCAACCTGTTGACCTTTTACGAAGAGGTAAGTAGAGATCTGGATGGAGGGAGGCCGGTGGACATAGTATATCTGGACTTTTCCAAAGCATTTGATACGGTGCCACATAAACGCTTGTTATACAAGCTAAGGGCTATGGGCATAGATTAATTAGTGTGCACGTGGATAGAAAACTGGCTACAGGAACGTGTACAAAGAGTATCGATAAACGGCACCTTTTCAGACTGGGCTGAGGTCATGAGTGGTGTTCCCCAGTGTTCTGTGCTGGTTGCCATGCTTTTTAACCTGTTTATTAATGATATAGGGGAGGGAGTAGCCGTGTCTCAGTGTTTGCTGATGATACGAAAATTGGGGAGTGGGCAACTGTATGGCAGATAAAGTTCAATGTCGATAAATGTAAGGTAATGCACCTTGGAGTTAAAAATAGGCAAATGGACTATACACTTATGGGTATGCCGCTAGGGAAGTCGGAAACGGAGAAGGATTTAGGGGTCATCATAGACCGCAGATTGAACAACAGCTCGCAGTACCAGGCTGCTGTAAACAAAGCAAGTAGAGTCCTGTCTTGAATTAAGAAGGAAATGTATTGCAGGGTCAAATCTAGAATTTTGCCACTCTACAGATCACTGGTTCGGCCTCATCTGGAGTATGCGGTCCAGTTTTGGTCTCCGATACTCAGAAAAGATGT